TACTACCATTTTACCGATGCTGTTATTCATGTTGTACAGACTCCGTGTTCATATAGCATGCTCACTTAACGTAGCTACTAAGGGGCCAAGTAAGAAGTTGAGCCTATCTCATTCTATATTCATATTCTATTTAGTATACCATATTATCTCTGCAAACCATATTAGAGTAGACCACAAGGTTTTATTTCTAAAACTTGTTTCATTTCTTAATCTTTTAGTTTATAGTAAATGTGCTTATGCTTTAATGCATCTGTTATTCAGGAAAACTAGAAGTCATGGATCAGGCCTATCCATGAATTGTGCCCAAAGTGGAAATGGGACTGATTTTTAAATAAATATAATAGAACATATTTATCTAAGAGATGATTGGTGTGTCTATTCAGAGTTATCTTGAATTTATTTCAGCAGTGTCACTGTTGTTCAGAAACACTTTTGGAACTATTCTTTCTGTATTTCTTAGGCTGCTTAGCATCAGTTTTTTTTTGTTTGTTTGTTTTTTTGAGAGATGGGGAGAGGGAGAGAGAATCTCAAGCAGCTCCATTCCCAGTGTGGAGCCCAATGTAGGTCTCGATCTCACCACCCTGAGGCCATGACCTTAGTGAAAATCAGAGTCAGATCCTTAACTGACTTAGCCACCCCAGTGTTCCCTTATTCTTTTAACCTACATTCTGTGGGGGCAGTTGACATCTTTGAGAATGGATTTGATCTGTGGAAAAGTGGGAAGTCATTCTGAACCAAGTCTCAAACATAAAATTAGGGTTCAAAATGAGGAATGTCATTTTTAGTTAAAAATAAGCAGACCAAGGAGACAAAACCTATTATCCTAATGTCTCTTGTAAGGTAGTTAAGGAAGTGATTAGAAAAGAGCAGTCGCAAATGTTTTGTGTGATGACAACTTGAAATAGCCTCTAAAAATGACTACTCTGAATGGAGTTTAACCTTTATTTGGCTATAAATTCTAGTATATTAAAGTTATATCTTAAGGTAGTTATATCTGTTGTGTTTGCCGCTTAGGTTAGTGCTATGCTGACTTAGCATGCACTTTAGAGAAAAAGAGTTGATGAATCAATTACAGATAGCAGATACTCTTTCCATTTTAAAGGAGATGACAATCTATAGAACATTTATTTGCACAGTAATTTAATTCTGGTTATATTAATATTATGTAATTTGTGGTATCCACATAAGGATTTAATTCTAGACAGCTACACCATCCCACTTTCTGGCGTGAACTAAAACTACTTCTCTTGCTAAACCTGAGTATACTGTGATGCAAGCTTACATGTAAATTTATTTTTGTGCAAAAATTATCTTTGGCTGCCTTGTACACTTATATATTAGTGAATAGCTTTTAGATATTAGTACTTTTTTAGTGCAGTTACTAAACAGTAATCTGTATATCTGACTGCATAGGAACTTGTGATAGGAAGATTTCATTTTACCCTTTGAAGGTGTTATTTTTCTAGATTTTGAACTTCCAGATAGTGGAGTTTAATGAAGCCTCCTTATTTGTGGGATCAGAGGATAATAAAAAAATGCTTCTAATCCCCCCCCTTTTTTAAAGATTTTATTTATTTATTTGACAGACAAAGATCACAAGTAGGCAGAGAGGCAGGCAGAGAGAGAAGAGGAAGCAGGTTCCCTGCTGAGCAGAGAACCCGATGTGAGGCTAAATCCCAGGTCCCTGGGATCATGACCTGAGCCGAAGGCAGAGGTTTTAACCCACTGAGCCATCCAGGCACCCCTCTAATCCCTTTTTAATAATACTTTTCCTTTTTGGGTTTCAAAATAATGTTATAAGACCATTAATTCAACAGGTCATTATGCAGGAGTCTAAAAATTTAGTGGGAACTAGATAGACATGTGGCCTCTTTTAGCTTGTATTTGTGGGAAGCTGTGGAATAGATAGCAAACTACTAATTGCACAATTCACTGTGTAATTACCATGTGGAGAGTGCTAAAAGCAAGAAATATAGGGCAATATAAGAATTTGCTGACCTAGTGGGGGAGGGGAGCCAAGGAAGGTGACTTGAGCTGGGGAAAAAAAGAATATTTCTGGCAGAACATCTTGTTTAAATATCCTGGAACAGCAAGGAACTTGGCTTTTGCTAGGAACTGAAAGAGCCCACTGTGGCTGGAGTGTTAAAAAAAAAAAAAAAAAAAAAAGGAATGATAACAGTGTGGTGCAGTAGGCAAAGGTTAGGTCATGTAAGGCTTGATAGATCATGTTAAGGATTCTGATTTTTGTCTCAAGATCCCTTGGAAACCATTGGGATATTTTAAACAAAGGATCATGAAATCATCAGGATTAGAATGACCACTCTGGATGCTGTGTAAAGAATGGTTTGGAGGCAGCCCGGCTGCATGCTGGGAGACCCATTAGGTTGCGTTGAAATTAAGGTATCTGAAATTTATCTGAGGGAGAATCATGGAGGCCAGTGATTCTCAAAGTGTGTGTCACTGGGGAACTAATTAGAAATGCAGATTCTTAGGTTTCTGCTCAGACCCACTGAATCAAAAATTTTGCAGGTGGGTCTCAGAAATCTGTTTTTTGAGCAAGCCTTCTAGGTGGTTCTGATGCATCCTAAAAGTTTTTGAACTTTGCAGGTCATTAGATATGTGGCTTGAATGTAGGAGAAAGTTCTAGGCTGGTAGTATGGATAAGGAGCTACTGCATGGAAGTGGTAGTTGAAAGTGAGGGAGAGAGAAGAGGTTCCAATAGAATGAAACCCTGAGATACTTTAGTCCCAGACAGAGTGAAGGGATCTAGTGAAGGAACCAAAAAATGATTGGTTAGGGGGACTAGAAGGTCAGAAGAGTCTTTGAATAAGGGTGTGGCAAATTAAGCATTAAATTTGTCAGTAAATGATCTTTGTGTAATTGTAGTGGAATTACAAGGTTGGGCACCAATGTCAACAGGTTGAAAAAGAAATTGGGAGAGGAGTGAAAGAAATATAATTTACTCATTTAAGACATCCCTTACTTTTTGGACAGATATTTAATACTCCATAATTTTAGGAAATAAAAATAAATAACTTTGAGGGACACCATAAATAACCTTGAGGAACAGCATAAGAATCTGTGGAGAACTCTAATAAAATATTGTTTGGACTTACAGATTCTGAAATTCATAATTTACATGGAGGAATGAGTATCACTATCTTTACCATCTTGTGAGGAATACCATAGTAAAATAATAGTTAAACTATGTGGGGGGTGTGGGGGCGTGGAGAGTATGTTTAGCCTACCAAGAATGATGTTTTTTAACATGATCAAAACGACTTTAGCAGTATGCATTTATATAAAAATAATTTTTAAATTACAAATACTCTTACTCATTATAAATACATTAATTCACTTTTTATTACTACTGTGTATCTAAAGGAAAATGTCTTTAAATGAATTTTATAATTCAGTCTTTTACTTAAATTACCTTAATTTTTCAGAATTATTCTGACATATTAATGCTGTGCTATTCTTTTTTTTTTTTTTAAAGATTTTATTTATTTATTTGACAGAGATCACAAGTAGGCAGAGAGGCAGGCAGAGAGAGAGGAGAAAGCAGGCTCCCTGCTGAGCAGAGAGCCCGACGTGGGGCTCGATCCCAGGACCCTGGGATCATGACCTGAGCTGAAGGCTGAGGCTTTAACCCACTGTGAGCCACCCAGGCGCCCCAATGCTGTGCTGTTCTTAAGGGAAGACCACATTTAATGTGAAGAAAAGTTAAGATAATCTGAAGGTGAACTCCAATTGCATAGTAATATCTTTGGAGTGAGTGTGTGTGTGTGTGTGTGTGCGTGCACGTTCATGTGTATGTGTGTCCACATGCACTAACACATAGTAGTGGGGTGGAGGAGAGACAAGGAGAGAGGGAGATTGAGACCTAAACCATTTCAAAATGCATTTTCTTTTCAGGGTAAATTATGTATTTGTATTTCTAAATTTTTTATTTATTTAAAATTTTAGGTAGACTCCATGCCCAACCCAACTCAGAATTCTGAGATCAGGAGTCACACACTCTACCAACTGAGCCAGCCAGGTGCCCTAGTTTTTTTTTCTTTTTTTTTTTTAAAGAAAAAATTAGGTTATTATGTCAACATGTGTTGACTATAAAATTCAACAGCTACAGAAACTCAAAGTTAGTTTCTGCTGTTACTAGACCACACTTTATGTTCAAAATAGCCCATTTATTAGCAGTTTGATATTATGATTCTAGATAGTCTGCTTACTCCCTACTCCCTGTACCCTGCCTGTATGGATACACCTGTATGTTAATTCTTAAAAAACAAACAAGCAAACAAACATAAACCTAGTATTATACTGTTTTCAGGGTTTTTTTTTTTTTTCTTTTTTCTTACCAATCAGTACATCTTAAATCTAAAAGGCTAAATTCTAAATATTCCTTCCATTGACTTTATATTTTGTTCTTAGAACATTAGTCCAGGACTTAAGAGACTTGCATTATGGTTTCTTTTGGCTTCATGATCTTGGGCAAGTCACTTAGCCCTTCTCTTTTTAGTTTCTTCATCTGTAAAATTTAGAGATAGTGAGTGGTTGACTTGAAGGTTTCTGATAGCTTTAAAATTTGTTTAGGAATGCTAGGATTTCAAAGGGCAGACATTTCCTTCACTTTTATATGAAAAGTGATTACCTTAATCCACCTGTGAATGCCTCATGGGAGTAGTTGTTGCCAAGTTAAAAACATAGTAGCTTGGGGAGGAAGCACTAATACTAGAAACAAGATTAAAAAAATAATATCTAATCATTTACTAGGGTACTTACTTAGCAGGCATACCTGATGCTTTTTGGGAATTGTTGACCAAAACAAAACAGAAACAAAAGGGTTTTCACAGAACTGATTAAGTTTTTACACTAAAAATTTCTATCACTTTTTGGGGGTGTGGGATGTAGGTGGGTCAGGGTTTGGTTTTACTCACTGAGTACTAACGGCAGATGAGACAAATGGGACTTATGGCCCCGCTCAGTGTTTTTTTTCTCCACATCAGATGGGTAATGTGCCACAGTGGTAACAAGGATTGAGGGAAGCACATGTCACACAATGGTGTGAACACCCAATCATCATGCTTACTGCACAGCATTTTTTTTTTTTTTAAGATTTTAACTTTATTTGACAGGCAGAGATCACAAGCAGGCAGAGAGGCAGGCAGAGAGAGAGAGGGGGAAGCAGGCTCCCCGCCAAGCAGAGAGCCCGATGCGGGGCTCGATCCCAGGACCCTGAGATCATGACCCGAGCCGAAGGCAGAGGCCTTAACCCACTGAGCCACCCAGGGGCCCCTGTACAGCATTTTTTAAGGAATTGTGTCACCTTCTCACATAAGTGTCTTATAAAAGCCAAGGTATTAGGAGTAGGAGTCATTGCTATGTGGCTGGGAGCTGTGTTATGTATTCAGGAAACACTTGAGAAGGCAAAGAAGTCTTAGTTTAAATAATTTTTTTTTTTAATTTTATTTATCAGAGAGAGCACGCACAAACGGGGGCCTGATGTGGGACTTGAACCCAGGAACCTGGAATCATGACCTGAGCTGAAGGCAGACCCTAAACTGAGACACCCAGGGATTCCCCCCTTTTCCCCCCCAGCTTTTTAAAAGATTTATTTATTTTTAAAGGGGGTGCAGAAGGGCAGAGGGAGAGAATCTCCTGAAGAGATTTGAAGATAGGGGCTCAAGAATCTCCTGAAGAGATTGAGATAGGGGCTTAATTCCACACTGAACTGAAACCAAGAGTTGGATGCTCAACCCACTGAGCCACTCAGGTGCCCCTTAGTTTAAAGAATCTGAGTGAAAGTGTTCAGCTCTTGAATTAGCATTATTTTCTTGTTATTAATAGTATTAATATTATATATATAATATTAATATATATAATTATAATATATAATATATATAATATATATGATATATATATTATATATATTATATATATAATAGTTTTGGGGGTGCTTGGGTGGCTTAGTTGGTTAAGCATCTGCCTTCGGCTCCAGTCATGATCCCAAGGTCCTGGGTTCAAGTCCTGCATTGGGCTCCTTGCTCCGCAGGGAGTCTGCTTGTTCCTCTCCCTCTGCCACTCCCCCTGCTTGTGCTCTTTCTTGCTCTCTCTGACAAATAAATAAAATCTTTAAAATAAAATAAAATAAAATAAAATAAAAGATAGCTTTTGTTTTTCTGCTCTTGGTGTCTTAAGTTGCTGATTTTATTTCCTTTTAATTTTTTACTTGTTTTTAGTTGCTTTCATCTTTGTCCATAGTGTGTCCACTAACATTTTATGTACTTATTCCTAATCTTTAGCTTTTATTTTTCTAATATTTTCTTGTCACTTTTATGTATTTTAACTCTGCCCTTTTCATTTGATTTTTTGCTTAAATTCTTTTTTAAAATTTAGTTGTTGTTGTTATTGTTGTTTTTCCCTCAAGTAAGATTTTAGGAAGGCAAAGCCACAAAAAGTTATGAAGAAGAATCATTGAGGAAACTAGTGACTCCAACAGTAGCTTGCCCGGGGAGAGCTTTAATTTAAATTTACTTTTTTTTTTTGTAAGATTTTATTTATTTATTTGACAGAGATCACAAGTAGTCAGAGAGGCAGGCAGAGAGAGAGGCGGGAAGCAAGCTCCCCGCTGAGCAGAGAGCCTGATGCGGGGCTCAATCCCAGGACCCTGGGATCATGACCTGAGCTGAAGGCAGAGGCTTAACCCACTGAGCCACCCAGGTGCCCCTTAAATTTACTTTTTATTGTGTGTATTCTTTTTTCTATATAGCTGGTTGTTGGGTGTCATGTTTCTAAGATGAATAACCAAAAAAGTTACTTCACACCCTCAGCAAGAGATCAAGCTACTTTTATTCCCCTTCCACTTACCCAGTAGTGGCTCTTCTTTTAAATTCCTCAAATCTTTGGGCGCCTGGGTGGCTCAGTGGGTTAAGCTGCTGCCTTCGGCTCAGGTCATGATCTCAGGGTCCTGGGATCGGGTCCCGCATCGGGCTCTCTGCTCAGCAGGGAGCCTGCTTCCCTCTCTCTCTCTCTGCCTGCCTCTCTGTCTACTTGTGATCTCTGTCTGTCAAATAAATAAATAAAATCTTTAAAAAAATAAATAAATAAATAAATAAATTCCTCAAATCTTTAATCTGAGTGATGCAGATGCCCCATGGACAAATTTCTCACCCCTACATAAAATGTTTATTTACAGTGATAAAGCCTATGAAGTACACAAAAAGGGTCTGTTCTCATATTGTCATACCTTTAGTCATTTTGAAGGTGCTTGACTTAAAAAGTTTCACAGTCCTCATTTTTTAAAAATTATTTATTTATTTATTTGACAGAGATCACAAGCAGGAAGAGGCAGGCAGAGAGAGGGAGGAACATAGTCCTCATTTTAAAAAGAATACTTTTTAGCACTATCAGCCTCCTAAAATCTTTGAAACAAAAAACAGAAAAATAGTGGCAGGTCTTTTTTTTTTTTTTTTTAAGTATTTCTATTTATTTATTTGAGAGAGAGAGAGTGAAAGAGAGTATGACAGCAGGGCGAGAGGGAGAGGGAGAAGCAGACTCCCCGCTGAGCAGGAGCCCGGCTGCGGTGCCCTGGCTGTGGTGCTCTATCGTGGAACTCTGCGATTATGACCTGATCCAAGGCAGATGCTTAACCGACTGAGCCACCCTGGCATCCCAAACAGTGGCAGGTCTTAACTAATATTTATTGCTAATCTTACTGTTAAAAACTTTTTAAAAAATTTATGTTTCTTAAAATAGTAACTTCCTTTTTTAGTGTATATAGGTACAGGAAATATTTTAAAAGATATTTTAAGTATGAAATACAATCATCAAGGGGCACTTGGGTGGCTCAGTGGGTTAAGCCTCTGCCTTTGGCTCAGGTCATGATCTCAGGGTCCTGGGATCGAGTCCCGAGTCGGACTATCTGCTTCCCTCTCTCTCTCTGCCTGCCTCTCTGCCTGTTTGTGATATCTCTCTGTCAAATAAATACATGAAATACATAAAATCTTTTTAAAAAAAAATCATCAAAAGGAAATTTTAAAGGGAAAATCATAATTCTGGATGATATAGCACATTCATAATTTTTATGCATTCATAATTATTTCAGGTATTACATTGATGTGGGCCTAAGATATCATGTGGGCCTAAGAAAGCAGAACTAGATAAGGTCATTCTTTAGTCTCTGCACGTTCCAGTTTGAGCCAAGGCCTCTAACTGGGTATTGCTTTGGTATAGATGGAGCAGATGGAACCTTATGTTAGCTGTCACTCTATTACATCCTTCCTCAACAAGATACTTGACTTAATTTAATCTTCTAGCTTTGTTGTCTTCACCATAGTGATATTGCTGCTACTCTTTTTAAAGGTCAGTATTATTGCCCTTTAATATTTCCTTTTTCATTGTGCATCTCATTCTCTTTCTACATTTCTGTACATTTCTCTCATTCTGGGAACTAAATTAGCCTAAGTTATTACTGATGATCGTGGCTGTCTCTTTCCAGAATTAAAACACTGAAATGACACTTAAATGTTTTATGTATAAAATATAGAAAGGAGTTAGTTACTCTGCTGAATATGTAAAATCTTAATAAGGATTCAGGTTAGTTTGAATGCTACAAGAATGCTACCCCTGCGTTCTTTTTATTAAACACATTTAAAAATGCAACATGTAATAACATTTCAAAATTATGTAAGTGCTCAAGAATCCTGATCTTGTTCACTTCAGGTCTCTTGGAATATAACTGTAGCATTCTGACATTAAGTAGCATGCCATGAGATAATTATTGTTGTAGCTGATTAGTTCTTTTGAGGAGATTTTTTATATCTTGTTTTTCAGAGTGATCACTTACAGATTTTAGATTCTGTAAAGTATAGCTTTCATAATTTTAGGAGTGCAGTGACAACTGCACAGTAAGTCCATATGTTGCCTTGCTATAATTATATTTTAATAATTATTTTTTCTTTAGGGAAAGAACTATGGCTAACCTCCAAGAGACTAAAGCTGATGATTATAATCATTCATATTTTTTAAACAGAAAGAACCTTTTCCTTTTTCTGATTTTAAATAGCCGAATTTATTTTTCTTGTGAAGTTGAGTTTATTTATGTTGTATCATAGCGTCAACTGGATGAAGTTGCTATTCTGGATCCTACTGTAAAATTTAAATGAATATTTATGTCAGATGGGAAGATTACCCTGCTTTTTTAGTTATTCCCGTATATGGACTTGCTGCCACATGCGTGCTAATTTTTCCTTCTCAGAACATGCAGCTTGCTCCTTGCCGCCTCCGTTCTTCTGTATATTACCATTCCCTCCACCAGCAATGCCCTCCTTCCTTTTCATCCATCTCCTTTTCTCCTTTTAAAATTGGCATCTAAAATTATTTCCCCTAAAAGTTCTTTCATGATTTTCTTGGTTTTACCTTAACACTTAACATGGATAGATACAGCGTCAACCAGTATGAGTTGTGTTACTGTGATATACCAGGTACAGTGTTAACTATCTCATTTAATTTTCACAGCTGTCTTATGAGTTGTGCTCATTTTAAATTGAAATTAAATAAATTCTGGTACATTCCTAGCTTTAGCTGTTCTAAAATGTGAGCTTTTCCTATCATTTAAAAAAAGTTGCTTTTTATAGTATTATTCTGCCTTACGTATTTCAGTATTCTTTCCTTTCTTGGTTTTTATCACTTAACCTACCAATAGCACTTAAAGGAAAAAAAAACAAACACTATTTGGATATAATTTCCATAGAATAAAATGTACCCATTTTATGTATATAATGTGATGCATTTTGACAGATGCATACGCCCATGTAACTATCACTACCATAAAGAAGATATAGAACATTTTCATCAGTCCCCAAAATCCCTTGTGCCCTTTTCCCACTTAATATTTCCCCTTCTCCACTGTCCCCACTTTCCCAGCTCTTCTTCAGGCAACAACTGATCTGAGTTCTATTCACGACACATTGTTTTTTGTCTGTTCTAGGATTTCATGTAAATGAAATCATAGAATATGTACTCTTGTGTGGCTTCTTTTGCTCAGCATGTTTTTGAGATTATTCTTTTTTATTGCTGGATAGTATTCCATTGTATGAAT